GTTCATGCTAAGGAAAAACAAAAGAGTTAGAGTACAAAAAGAAAGAACAATACATGAATTTGATCGTAAAAAATCTTATGAGGACGAATGTACTACGAAGGAATGTGTGCTTGGCTTGTGAAACTTCATTATATTCGATTTGTTGTTCGACCGATATAGAAGATTAACTTTGGATCCACGAAACAAGTAGGATCAGCTGAGGCGGTCATCCCTATTTTTAAACGACATGTTGTCTAAATTGTTTTTCACTTTGGACCCTACTAAATTTTTTGTGTACATTGTCGCCCCTGCATTTTTTAAATCCTGGCTCGGCCCCCTTGTTCGAAACCCTCTCTAAATCTTCTTCCCAAACACCCAAGCAGAGAAAATTCAGAAAGGGACTGCATCTTTATCCCTCACTCAATTGTAGTTGATTAATATAATTTGCACAAAAATGGCGAATCAGGGCGAGAATCTCACGTCCACGGCGATAAATGGGGTGAAGATGTACGCCGTCACCGGCCAGCAACGGCCGTCGGCCACCAGGATTCCACCCGGAAAGCTTCAAACTCTCCGTAAAGAAAGCAGTTACATTCAATGAGCGCTAGATTAGAGGTTCGACGAAACTGCCGCGAGCAGAATTAAGGTAACACCAGACGGGGAATACCTTATTGCTTCAGGTATTAATAATTATTACACCACAAGTTAAAGTATATGAATTACAAGAGATGTTAGCAAAGTTACAAAGACATTTTAGTTTCAGAGATCATTAATTTTTTAGGTACTATGTGCTGATTATTCAAAGATTGCGTTTTTACGCGCTGATCGTTCTGTTTTACTTCATGATGAATAATTCACTTTGAGAATGCCTAGGATGGGATCATGGGAAGGGATATGGCTTATGATTTCTGTTACTGTGACTTGTTTTGTCTTTTGAGCTGCTTCATCGACTGATCTTTATGGAATAAACCTAGAACAGGGCAAGTTTGTTTGTCCACTTAGTACACAATCCGAAACCTTAAATGTTGTGCCTACAAGGTTCATGAATTATTTTTGCTTGTGGTAGTGAGGATGCTTCTGTAGAATGGTTCGATATTCATTCTAGATCCTCAGTTGGTAGGATAGATGTTGTTTCCCCGGAGATGTTTGTAACCAGGAGGCTTCAGCTTTACAGTTTGATGAAAGATGGAGGTTAGTGATCTCATGGGTGTTAGGAGTAGTTCTGGGAAGGTTCTAATCTATGATTTGCGGTTTTCAGCGCCGTTGAGAGTGAAGGATCACATGAATGGTGCCAACCTTATATTGAGCATGAATTGGCACAAGACTCTGAATTCTGAGAGAGCAAAGTTAATCACTTCTGATAAACACATTGTCAAGATTTGAGACCCTGAGACTGGAGAAGAAATGAGGAGCTAGTATTAAGCCGGCGGTTGGGAATATCATCAGGGATTTATCTATACTTAATGGAAGTGGATTGATGTTGATGGCATTGCACAGCAGCCAAATTACTTCTTATTATGTATCAGCCCTTGGACCTGTCCCAAAGTGGTGGTCTAATTACCCGGAAAACTTGATAGAGGAGCTAGAGGAGCATCCTGAATCTACCATTTATGATAGATTTCAAATTTTTGACTGGAGGATCTTGTGAAGCTGAATTTGACTGAAGGGCATATATGCACGGTTACTTTATGGACTATAGTCTTTATAGACGGCCTTTAGATTGGTCGAATATGCAGGATATAAAAGATTACAGAAAGAAGCTGAAGCAGGACAAATTGAAAAAAGAACGTGAATTAAGAATCACGATCAAGAGAAAACTGCCAAAGGTTAATAACTGCAGTCGCACAGCTAAGCTTCTTTTTGAAGAAGCAGAGAATGAGAAGAAGACGGGAGGAAAAGGAAGATGAAGAGGGCGGCATTGAGCATGTGCTTCATATATTGAGAACTTCGGATTGATGAAATAGTCTTAGCTTGATGTTCTAGAGCTGATTCAAATCAATGTCTGCTGGAAATTTTGATGCAAATCAATGAAATTGTCACTTTCAGTCATTCATATGTCGGATGACTAGTTTAACCCTTCCATTTAAGTTGAACTACTTAATTATAGAAAATTTCAAGTTCAAACTCCTTTGATTTTCCAGCATTAATGAAATTTTCATGTGGATTTACATGCACAAAATCGTCGGATCAAGAATCAAACAAGTGAAGAGAAGTTACAGTTGTAAAAATCATCCAAAAACCAGAAACGGATAATAGGTTCTGTATCCTTATTTTAGAAATAATAAATGAAAACAAAAGAAAAGAAAAGAAAAGAAAATTTCGAATCCTTGAGATATTCGGGAGGACATGGACGCCATAAATTCGAGTTTGTATCCAGTATACCCGGGAGCATGTACACCCCGTTCACTTTTTTGCACTACTAGTCCTTATTGTACTTTTTCTCAATCTTCCTATAATTTGTAAGTTTAGTCCCTATCAAATTTTTCTCTCTCTTGGAAAAAAACATCTCTAATCTTTAAACGAGCACATCTCTCAATCCGTGAAAAATTAAAAAACGTATCACACATGAATTTTATTATATTCGACGAGATCTATCCAACAGGATCCATATGGAATATTTTTTTCGGGCTTAAAAATGATCAAATTCTGATGGATAGAAATAGGGTGGATATCCAGTTTATGAAGATGGATAACCAACTTATTAACACATTGGGCAGTGATTTTTCAAGAAAAAAAAATTGGATAGCCAGTACAAACAAAATGGATAATCGATTCAAACCGGTCAGATAATCAGTACGAACACAATGGATAACTATTTTAAGAAAAAACTAGGTTGGATAAACAATACCAATTAGTCGGATAACAAGTACAAACACATCGGACAAGTATTTTCATAAAAATTAAAAAAAAAGGCTGGAGAAACAATAGTACGGAGTTGGATAATCAGTACGAACTCATTAATTGGACAAACATTTTCTCAAAAAAAAATTGATTGGACAAACAATACAAACTTATTTGGACAAACAGTAAAAATAATTGGATAACCAATACAAAGTGATTGGATAATCACTACGAACACATTGGATAACCGTGTTTAAAAGAAAAAAAAATGGTTGGATAAGCGGTACAAACAAAATGGATAATCAGTATTAACGTATTGGACAACATTTTTTCCAAACAAAATAAAAAATGATTGGATAGCCAGTACAAATAACTTAGATAAGCATATAAATCCGTTGGATAACCAGTACACATAAGTTGGATAGGCATACAAACCAAATGGATGGATATCCAGTACAAATAAGTTGGATAAATGTCCAGTGTGTACAAACGAGTTGGATATCCATACAAACCCGTTGGATTACAACTGCAAAACAATTTGGATAGGCAAACAAACCAAATAGATATCCAGTACAAACAAGTTGGATATCCAGTTCAAACTGGTTGATAATCGGCATGAGCACAATGGATAACCAATTTAAAATAAGTTGGTTATCAATCTTCTTAAACTGGATATCCACCCTATTGATTATCCAATTTCTTGGTGATGATTATCCAACTTTTTTTTTCCTTGCTCTTTTATGAAAATGATTGTCTAATTTTTTGTACTTATTATCCAACCAGTTTGTATTGATTATCCAATTATTTTCAATGATTATCCAAATTATTTGTAATACTTATCCAAATATTTCTTTTTTGTTTTTTTGAAGAGGAGGGAATATTAAAAATATGATTGGATAACCAATACAAACAAAATAGATAATCAGTCCAAACCGGTTGGATAATCAGTATGAACACTACGGACAACCATTTTTCAGAAAATATATATATATATATATATATATATATATTTCTTCATTTCTGCCCGTAAGGTTTAAATGCATTTGAAGTTCAAAAAAAATATTCAACATTGACCTTATCGGATAAATCTCATGGAGCACTATAAATTTCATATATAATTTGTTTTCTAATTCTTTACGGATCAAAAGATATAAGAAACACAATAATATGAATGTTAAATAAGTTGATTATCCATATTCTTAAACTGAATATCCATCCAAATGAAGTTGCAAATTTCTTTGTTTCTGCCCATCAAATTTAGTCATTTTTAAATTGGAAAAAAATATTCGATATGGATCTTGTTGGATAGATCTCGACGAGTATTATAATTTTCATGTATAACACGTTCTCTAATTCTTTACGGATCATGAGATATGGTCGTTTAAAGATTAGAGATATTTTTTAAATGAAAGAAAAAAAAAAGTCACAGGGACTAAACCTGCAAATAGTAGAAGTCATTTACAAAAATGAAAAAGTGTAATAATGACTAGTAATGCAAAAAATACGAGGGTATGGTACTTCTGGATGCACCCAATAAATTGCCATAAATTCTTTGGCAGCATCAAGGATGAATTTTATTGGATGATGATGATGCAGATTTTTTATTGACGAGGACAATGATAGTGATGATGAATGTAAATTATAGTATCACCTTTCTCTCGAAAAAATAATCCACGTCTAATTTTGAGGATTGTACAAAAAATTTAGACTTTTATATCGAGGAACAAAGAGGGTAATAATCATAAATATAATTAATTAAGGAGGACTTAATTGGTCATTACCACCTTATATCATATTCCATGAGTAGGAATTTTAAGAGTTTTGGCTCTCTCTTGGGCAATTTCAATTCGTTGAGCCCCCTTCATAAAAAATTTTCCTTTTTTTCTCCTTTGAGAATGTTGAAAAATATGGGCATAACTAATACAATAATAATACTGTATGTATATACTGACAAATCGGTAATTTAATATTCTTTCTGTTGATGTCCAAGTCGACCAAGTAATCAGAATCCTTTCATGAACAGGGAAACTGAAAAATAGGCAATTTTCTCATCTATGAATAGAATACGGGCTGACTTAATTTGTCAGAAATTATTACTTTTTCAGTTGTTTTTTACAATTTTTCACTATATATTGACTAAATTGTCGGAGTTCTGTTCCCCGGACGAACCACCGGCGTGGATGGGTTCAAGAACCGTGGATTGCTTCGAGAAACCGGAGCTTATCGGTGAAGGAACTTATGGTCAGGTTTACAGGGCGAAAGAGATTGAAACAGGGGAAATCGTGGCACTGAAGAAAATCCGTATGGATAGTGAAAAGGAAGGTTTTCCCATCACAGCCATCAGGGAAATCAAGATCCTGAAGGAACTGAATCATGATAACATCATCAAGTTGAAAGAGATGGTTATATCTCCAGGCCCTGATAATGGGATTTACATGGTGTTTGAATACATGGATCACGATTTGACCGGACTCCTTGATCGGCCCGGAATCAGATTCTCTGTTCCGCAGGTTAAGTGTTACATGAGACAGCTCCTGACAGGGGTTCACTACTGTCACGCGAATCGGGTGCTTCACCGCGATATCAAGAGTTCTAATCTCCTGATAGATAACAATGGGAACCTGAAGCTCGCTGATTTTGGTCTCTCCAGGCGGTATTTGAATGATGTCAACGCGAATCTCACGAATCGTGTTGTTACATTATGGTACAGGGCACCTGAATTGCTGCTCGGAGCCACAAAGTACGGTCCGGCTATAGATATGTGGTCTGTTGGTTGTGTCTTTGCTGAGCTTCTAATGGGAAAGACAATCTTTCCGGGGAAAGATGAGCCACAGCAGTTGAATTTGATTTTCGGGTTGTGTGGTTCTCCTGATGAGAAAAACTGGCCTGGAGTATCAAAGCTGCCAGGATATAACACATTCAAACCTGAAAAACCATTGGAGAGACGTGTGAGGGAGACTTTCTGGTGCGTTGACAAACACGCTTTGGAGTTGCTTGATCGGATGCTAACGCTCGATCCAGCTAAGAGAATATCCGCCAGAGATGCGCTTGACGCCGAGTACTTCTGGGCTGATCCATTGCCCTGTGATCCCAGGAGTTTGCCGAAATATGAATCTTCACATGAATTTGACACAAAGAGAAAGCGCCAGCAACAGCGTTTACAGGATGACGCAGCTAAGCGCCAGAGATTACAGCATACATCGCAGCATAATCGCCTCCTACCTCCTCCTCAGCATTCAGGGCAAGGATATCCTCAGATGCGGCCTGGACCTTTTAGACACCCTCAGGATGGAAATCCTTATGGCAGATACAACCATCAAAATCAGGCCCAAGGTGGCGGTGGTGGTGGTCGTTACGCCAATGTTCCATACCCACCTCCTCCACTTAGGGGGCCACCCCGTGGTCCAAGTAGATTTTCAGGTGTAGATCCCAGGGGAGGTGGCGGTTATGGCGCTGGTGGCCCTAATTATCAACATGGAGATCAGTATGGTGCTCCTGGCACAAGGCGTGGCTCGAATACCATGTCTAGAGACCAAAACCAACAGTATAATAGGCAGCATTGATGAAGTTGAGTCTGAGTAGGTGGCGAAAGCCACAGAGAAACCAAGACAATTCTGAAATACAAATGTTTGTATGATATAAATTACATTTCTTAAACTATCAATTTCATCTGTTGGTCCACCATGTGTTCCTTTTAGAAAAGAAGTGAAGCTTAGTTATTAGACTAATTAAATCTAAGGTATATTAACTCAGACAAAACGTATACAAGTTAGTAATGATATATACTGGTCCAAGTAAAATCGAAATTTCCCTGCAATGAGAGTTACCAATTGATTTTACTTCTGGTTTCTTCTAATTACAGGCTGCGTTTGTAGTTCTACACATTTTGATAGTAAATCTAATTTACGTGGTGGATGGTTGGGTGGAAGAATTGTAGAATGTCGCGACTGTTATCACGAAGCCGGGGTTCAAACCTTGCCTAAAGCAAACCCAAAAGGAGAATGTAATTTAGTTATATCACAACAAAGGGAGGGGTAAAAAGCTGTTAAAAGAGTTTCCAGAAAAATGGAAAGACGGGGTTCAAACCTTGCCTAAAGCAACCCAAAAGGAGAATGTAATTTAGTTATATCACAACAAAGGGAAGGGTAAAAAGCTGTTAAAAGAGTTTCCAGAAAAATGGAAAGAGTGATGGACAATTTTGAAGAACTTAAGGATGTAATGATTTAAGAGTAATGCACTCAATCATTTACTAGTCAATTTAGGTAGTGAAGAAGCTGCTAAATAACTATCCAAACCAAAGAAAGAAAAGACATCAGAAGAAAATATCTGACAAATGTGGGAGTGAAAGGAAAAATGTCTGACAAATGTTGTTGTGAGATTGAGAACACCATAGATGAATTTGATACCGTGACAGATTTCCACATAGTTGCTTCTAATACCAAAGATGCAAGTCATGATCCAGAGGTCAAGGATGAGTGAAATAAGTTCAGGAAGTTGCGTATGATACTGAAATTGTTCTTGACAGATTCATGATCCGTGCATCCCAGAATCAGCATCTCCGGGATAAGTCCAGCATCGAGGTTTTTAAGGTTATCTTTGTGAAAGGGACCTGACATTCAACCATGGACTTTCTTCTGAGAGAGAGTCAGGATAGAAGCCAGGAGCATTGCAGAGGGACATCTTCTGCACGGATTCAGCTTGAACATGTCTCAGCAGGGCCTGATTTCTAGCAGAGGATTACATGATCCAAGGGATGATGTGCATTTAGTGCAAAAATTGGAACTTGTTGGGATCCAGGTTTGGACAGAAGAGCTAATTGAAATCATTCTAAAGGAAGGATTCTGGATCAAAGATAGTTACAGCAGTGGTTTATTATATTATCGAAAGTTAATAGAGTCAATGTAATTATATATAATTAGCGTACAATAGGACAGATTGAACATTTAGTTTTTAGCCTAAAGATTGTTGGAATACAACATTCCGCGGATATGATACTCCAACAATGTCATAATTTAACCATGGTTTTACTACGTTCGGTGAAGCCTCTAAAGATTGATAGCCTCCAGGACTTGATGCCACTAACGATGCCAAGCAATCCGCCGCAAAATTAGCTTCCCGAAGTTAATGTCTTAGTTCCACCTTCCATTGGTCGTGCAAGTAGCTCCTTGATGGCCCGAACTAGACCGCCGTTCATCCTCGAAATAGCCGTAGTACTCAAAATCATCTTCACAGCAACTTGAATATAAGCTTCCGCTATCACCTGGCGGAAGCCAAGATCCCAAGCTCGTTCTCTGCGGTTTCTTGTTTCCCCCTATTCAGTTTATATACTTTAATTAATTCATCTAATTCTTTTTACCAAAAGAAAAAATGCAAATCTATTGATCCGTGAATACACGATTCATACACCCCAAATTGTCGTCAATCCGACCAAACTGATTTGCGTTTGTCTTACTTCTCTTGATCTCGGCGCGGTTCAGTGATCATGTGGATTCCAGTTTCAGATTGCATGATGGAGAAAGAACCCTCTGAATTCCCGACAACTACACAGGAAGAAAGCCGGATCATCAAAGAGCTTTTGCAGAAAGCCAATTCTGATGTCCGCGAAGGCGACACGTTTTATGTGGTTTCTACTTTCTACTAAGTGGTACTTCAGCTGGCAGAAGTACACCGGGCAACAACCTGTTGGGTTTTTCTGTGTTGAAAACAATGAACACGGAAGGCCGGGTCCGATCGATAACTCGGACATTGTTGCAGATCAAACCGACGTTGATGATGATGATGACCGTCGGCTCCTTAGGACATTGTTACAAGGGCGTGATTACGTGTTATTGCCGGAAGAAGGGTGGGAAAGGCTGTATTCATGGTACAAAGGTGGACCTGTGATAGCTCGGAAGATGATAACGGTTGGATCTGCGGCCAAGCAGTTGATTGTTGAGATGTTTCCTCTCTGTCTCACGTTGATTGATTCTAGGGATGATAGTGAATCTTGTTTAAGGTTGAGCAAGAAGGCTTCTTTACGTGAACTTTACCATGTTGTCGGTCAGCTGAAGGGGTTTGAGCCTGAGAAGTTTCGGGTTAGGGACTATTTCGACAGAAGGAAGTGGCTTGTTTTAGTTCCTTCTTCAGGCCGAATCCTGGAAGATTCTCAACTTCAGATGGATCAACATATTCTCCTTGAGGTGGAGAGTTATGGAACTTGGTCTTCCGAATCTTCTGCCACAGACTACTGGAAACCTGCCAGATCTTCTTCTTTTACAATTGCAGGAGGTCCAAGTTTATCTAATGGCTATTCAACTGGTCTCAGCAGCAGCAATATTTACCAAGGAATATCTGTCCGTGAATCGCGTGAAGAAGAAGAAGAAGAGATGGAGGATGAATGTGATGATAATACGAAACAGGTGTGCAGAGGTTTTGGCCGGACTTCAGAATTTGGGAAATACTTGCTTTATGTGTTGAGAATCCCACATCAGTGTTTGGAGAGACTGGATCAATATATAAGTACATGGGCTACTCCCCTCATTGCCAATTTGTTTTGAAGTGGAACCACATCGGCTTCTGTATTATAAACAGTACCCTTCAATGTTTAGTTCATACGCCGTCCATCTCTGAGTACTTCTTGCAAGATTTTGGTAATTGTCAACCTAGACAATCTCATTGGTTAGGAAAGTTTTACATGACAAAGCAATTTCAAACTCTTGCTTGGGAGGATATTCAACTGTTTTTTTTTTCTCTATGAATCCAAGTATCCAGATCTTCAAGGAGTGAATTTAGGATGAAATAAAAAGTCAAGAAAATTTTTGCAGCACAGAAGCATGTTCTTGCCTTAAATGATATTTGAAGGATTCAGGCTTGAGTTGAGAAGCTGTCGAGTATGCACTTCCTCATAACAGGCAAGCTATGGAAGCTGATTTATATATGATATCATGTAACAATGACGTTCATTCCCATTCGCGTTCACAACCTAATGGTTATGTTCCATAAGTTGCAGCTTTTATCCCCTGAAGATTCTATAACTTTGTTTTGCAGGAAAGCAATTCAAGGCAGGTCTTACCCTCTACATCCGAAAAGGATCTACCAGAGCATATTAAAAATGCTTGGCAGATTTTCACTTGCAATTGTAACTATAGCTGGATTGTTAGCTACAAAGCAGCAGAGCAGATTTAGCAAGGGTTGAAGCTTTGAAAGGAGTCTTGCAGCTGAATTTTAGAATTTGGCGCTGAAATCAGCTTCTTCAGTTTGCCATGAGCTACCTGAAAACAGAGAAAAATTGAGTTTGTTTAATCTAAAAAGATGTGATTGTGGAGATCGTAAACAATAGAGCAAAGGATAGAACTTATGGCTTAAGAAACTGAACTATCTTTCTTCTATTATTCGACTCAAGGAGTCTGATTCATGAGCATCTCAATTTATAATGGTTTACAAATATTTCTGCTAAGTCTAAAGAATAAATGATCAGTCTTTGAGCAACTGCAATCTCAATCTCTTTGTTGAGAAGCTTGATCCAGTTGTTAAGAAGGATGATAAGCTGCAGTTGTAATTCCGTTAGCAGAGATATGGCTCTCCTCGTTGACAACCTTTTACTCAGATAAGATGCTGTCAATTCAGAATAATAGAACTACAAGGCTGAATTACCTTTAACTAACTTGTTACTAAACCGCTCTTTTACTGAGTATAGCTTCCTTATCACTCCAAACAACCTTATTACTCCCTATACTCAAGTAGTTGACTTGGATTCTGAGTCGTTTGTTTTAATAAAAACCAGCTCCCTCTACCTCTGAATTTTTTTTCCAGAAAATTCAGTAATCGATTATGTGAGACTCCTTTGGATCTCGGCGAGGGAAGAAATTGTGATTGTGATTGAAGGTGGAACGCTAGAGGAAGTTGCAGAAGAATACCTCAATGAGCTCATTAACAGAAGCTTGATAGTTGTGGGGAGGTCTAATGTTGAGTACCAAGGTGATCCACATCCATGATTTTCTCCAACAGATGGTTCTAACGAGGAGAGCGAATGATAACAAGGCACAGAACATTTGCCATTTGGCCATCCATGGAAAGAAAAGCCGTCAAAATTTGGAAACTCTCAGCTATACTCTTTTCACTTACAGCATTTGAGGAATTAGATTCTGAATGCTAAGATGGTCACAGGCACAGCTCCAGACTTTGAGGTGCTCTTCTTGCAAAATTTATGAACGCAGTTCTTCAAAATCTATCTAAGATATCCTGCCTGAAAGGAACTCAAGGAAACAAAGACTCCTAACTCAATTCACAAGCTTCAGAAACTTGAGATTACTAATGTGTCTGAATTGCTACCTGAAACCCCAAAGCTTAAGCATCTCCTAGTGTACCAACTGGCGGCAAATCCAACTCTACCTTTTGATTGCTTGATAGGTTTTGAATACCTAAAGGGAATTTAAAAGTTAACACTACAAGAAGCTAATTTTAATGGAAGGAACCCCTGAGAGTGGTGTATCAATCGAAATATCGACGCTTCAAGAACAGTTTGAAGCAGGGATCGCAGGCTATTTACTAGCTCGAAAGTCCTCAAAATATTCTGACATGCCAGTTGCGCTTCTCACGAAACAACAATCAAGAAGGTGAAGAAGTTCACTGCAAAATTTACAGAAGCAGGTTCTCTGCAAAATATTTTGAATGATCTTCGCACTCCAAAGAGAACTGTAATCAGTACCATCAATTGGTTAGATGCCAATTGCCATGTCTAAGGAAACCATCATCGTTCAACACACTTTTTTTTTTTTTGAATGAGTTCTACACACTTTAAAATTCCTCTTAGAACCGTTTCTCTGTTTAAGAGTTTGGTATTGGCATTTAAAGACACTATTGAATGGCAAAATCTTGAATTACGTTCTGTTTAGAGCAAAGGCTACTTGCAAACAATCCGGAAAAATAATAGTACCAATACCATACTGTTCTTAGGTCTAAAATGCAAAATGGACAGATGAGCAAACAAAAACATAGGCTACAACAATATCATCCCACTTCCTCAAAAAGAAGAACCTCATCTAACCCTACAGAAGCATCAAACATGAATAATATCTATGTGCTCCTACTACAAAAAGATCTACCAGAAAATCAAACACGAACAAAAAACGGTCAGAATATATTTGCTCACATCCCTGAACTACGCAATTCTTCTTCTCCGTGAGCAAAGTGGCATCTATCTCCAAATGTACAGGATCCCTTGGTAAAGTTCTCACAAAGTTTAGTTTTGAAGTTATTTGAAGCAGGTGGGCCTCTAGTACCACCATGGTTCCTCATCTGTGGCCGAGCAGCTGACCTTAAATTCATGATAAGCTCATTCACCATATCAGTTGCTTGCTTTATCTGATCCATACTGCCCTCTAGTTCAATGTTCTTAAATTTTGGATCAGACTCATTCTCCCTAATGGCTAGCTTCACTCCACTCATTCGACAGATGTGCTTTGAATTCACACCACTTTTTCCAATGATTGCTCCAGCAAGGGAAGCATCGACACTTATCTTAGCAGTTGCAGAGGCTCCAAAGCCAACTGCAGGCCCAACGCCTGGTGGGGTAGCATCCAATCGTGGACCATACCTGCCTGGAAATGGTCCTGCACCATGATGATTCTCCGGTCCCGGAACTGCAGACCGCGTAAGCTCCCACTCATTATGGGCAAAATGACATTTATCCCCAAATTTACATCCTTCAGCAGTGTTGATTCTGTTGCAGAGACGAGTTTTAACAGCTGGAGGAGATGAAGCATCTGGAAACGATGGCGCAGCTATCTGATTCCTAGGAGGAGCTGCGGGAATAGCTGGGTTGCTTCCAAGAATTTGTGTCACAGCTTTAATACCACCGGGAACATAATGCAAGAAGTGGCACGACTCCCCAAATTGGCACCCCGAAGTGCTGCAAAGATTCACGAAAAGAATTAGAGAATTAACTCACAACAAAACAGCAGTTGAAATAGAGGAGAAACGATTTCGTAACTGACAGACAATACTTGCTTCAATCCCCAGTCAGTAAGAGATTAAATAAGAATAAATCTACAATACTGACACCTCAACTGAGCAGGATTAAGCAAAGAAGTTTTAAAAAGCCGGGATGGCAATAGAGATGCAGAAGAGCTGGTGAAAAAGATGTCCAACCCGTATGAAAAGTCTTTTAACAAAGTACATAAGCAGTCAAGTACACTAATGTTTCAAATATTAGAAAAACGAGTAAAACAAGTTGTCATCTGCTGAGAAAAGCACAGGGGAATCAATAATGTACTAGGAAACACAGTTTTTCACAGCATCACTGATTCCCTGTCAGAAAAATTTCATTTTTGGTGATCTTTCCACATCACAACGGCAAGGAAGAAAACTTGCAAGTCAAAGCATGCAATACAAAACGCCTCACTTCCAGAAAATCGAAACTAAGAAGTCTTACTAAAGCACACCAATTGTAGCAATAGAAGCTTTCAAACAAGAGTTGGCCAACATTACAATCAATTAAAGAACAGAATTTGTTAAGGCTGCAGGACCCTATTTGTTAACCAAGTCAACTTTTATCACTTGCAATGTAATCATTCTGAGAGCTTCAGTGACATCCAACAGCAAGTGTGAAGGCACATCAGAATTTCAGAAGCAAAAAACTTGTATGTGTTTTTAAAACTTGCTAGGCATTGTTGCAAAAATGAAACTTGATGGTAAATAAAAGAAAAAGGAGGAGGTCCCAAGAAAAGCAAAAACAAAAAACAGACTTCGAACAGGCATGTTAGGCCATAACATGTCGGCAATGGAACCAAAGACAGAAAAGAACAACCATAACAAACAATCTAGCAAATAAGTGAATATTTCAGAGGATTTAGATTTTCAAAAACATAACGCCCAAGGACAATGAAGCTGATAACAGAACATTTTCAATTAGAGGACTCATCAAAGATTAATTTCAACAACTGCTAAAAATGATACTTGCTCTAGAACCAGTCGGGACAATGCCTAGCACAAAAAATAGCTCCCATGCATAACAAAGCCTACAAAGGCACATAGGTGAGAGAAATAGAGCAAGGATTAGCCATAAACCCGTGATCATTCAGAACCAATTCTCAGATCCCACTACTTCTCCTCTGATGACCTAGGAATAAATGTCTAAATTCATACCAAGATGCCAGGAATTATAAACTTCAATCGAACTTCTACGCAATTAAGGATCTTTTATCAAACAAACAACAGGCCGCTATAGGGTGCAGCCGAAACAGATTAACATCACATTCGGTACAGGCAAAGCAGCAAATGACAAAATCTAATGGCAAACAACACAACACAAACAGTTTAAAATATATTCAAAATCATTTTGAAACATAAGAGAAAAGAAGTGCTTAATGCATTAAAATCAGAAACCTCAAACCCCAGTTTTTGAAAAGAGTCTTTTGCTGATCAGTTTAGCGGAGTCAAATTAAAAAAATTCCATAGTAATTTTCTCAATTACATAAACCATGCAAGTAGACACGATCACAATATATAAACTAAATCATGACCAGATATTTAGAGGTCTATTAAGAAAAAGTAGTCTCCAGATACCGTCAGAGTTCAAGGAAAACCATGATGACTATAGCTCTCAGGTACCAGCAAATAACTTACCCTGCCTCTGGTGTCCTAACTATAACAAACCCTCACATATGAAGCAAGAAAAATCAACATAGCAAAATAGGGTACATGTTAAACTTTTGCAATAAAGATAGGCAGAAAAATCTGCTGTTCAGATCATGTAACACGAAAATAACCAGATCGAATAGTCAAAGATGCGGCTAAAAGCTTCGCATCAGAAGCTGTTGCAAGAGGGGGTATACAGCAGCCAGTTCATTTACCAATTTACCACCATTCGGATCAGCTTTCACTTATACACTTGAGCAAGTGGTTAATTCAACATTACTCTCATTAACCATCAATTTCCAATCAAGTCGTGGTTATTCATTAAACAAGAAGTCTCCTGTGCCAAAACTTCAGATGTCCAATTCATTAGTCCAGTAAAACCAAATATTAAGCTGTAGTGACTGCGTGAGTTACTCATTGTTGCAACTTAATGACATTAAGAAAAGATAAAGAACTGCATTTTAATATTTTAATAGAGTTAAGATTAAGATTATAACCTGAAAAACTTTGTGCATGGCTTCGATTTGCTTCCTATACCGGTTGAAAATGACTCCGTTTCTGTTGAAGAACATTATGTTTTCTCAGTTACACTTAATCTATTGATCTTAAAATTTGAAACATCAAAAACCTATAATTACCATTACTTGGGGATGAAATCGTAATTAATTAGCTGGAAAAATGTGACTGCAGAATCTTAATGACTTAGTAAGCTGTATAACAGATCAAGTGAAGCTGTTTGAATCACAAGAACCGACCTTCAACCTTCCAAAAAAGTACGCATATACACAATCTTCCTAAGGTTAAAGAACATATTTTTTCTTCTTTTCATGTACATCAGGTGACCAGAATCAATGAAAGAACAAAAATCTTGAACCCAAGTAAAATCAGGCTTTCAGGGTCCTCCGAACACTTTTTAGAATGCCTAAAAGCAATAGTTATCAAAGAAGAAAACACTATCAAGCCCAAAAACATGTTCCAAATAAAAACGAAACTGACTGCCATAAAAAATCAATTACAGACTGCAAAAACCTAACAAAGCAAGCTCGCATACTCTGTAACAAAAGGGCCTAAAATATTGCACAATATCAGCTCACTTTGTCACAGAAGAAGCTCAATGCAACAGAATTTCAGAGGATGGAAAACAAAACACTACTAGGAACTCGCAATTACGCGCCAACAGCAAAACAGGTTACTAGATTTGACAAAGGAGAATTTAGGGAACGTTAGAGAAAAGCGAACCTTGCTTCAACTTCTTAACGCCGCCATTGCCATTGACGGCGACGCCCTCCGGCCTTCCTCTTTTCCGAGCGCTTCCGAAATCCATGACACTCCCAAGAAGCGAGCTTTTCAACACGAAACCTTCACCGAGTAAACAAAACACACCAACTATTGAACAAAGAACAAAAGAGAATCTCAGGATTCTACCAAATTCTTGCAGATGTAGCAACAAAAAGCCCTAGATTAAGGCTAGGGTTTGTAAAGACCCGAGAGCTTGTGAAGTCGCAGAGAAAAGAGAGGATGCGGTTGAGGAAAGGGGAAATTACAGCCTGCTTTCGATTTTATTATTTATAGCGTGAAAATTCAGTGCGTGACTGCGTGAAAGAGAAAGATGGGCTACTGTGAGGACACGTGATCCCCAATTATTAGTTACTACTACTGGTAGATTCCATATCTAACCTTTGGATTTGGAATTTATAGGCCTGTACAAGGAAAAGGGGCCCAAATCAAAATTGGCCCATAGACTACCTATAAATTGAGGCTGATTTTCTCTTAATCTTTTTTATTTTTTACAAATTTTGTAAACTAGATGTTGTGCGGGATAGATAAATTATGTACAAATATAAAAATGATGTGTATCAAAGAAATATTTTTTATTTTTGTAGAATTAAAATAATTGGAAGAGATTATGATATATTAGTTTCAGGAAATTGACAATTTTGAAAGACTCATTTTATCCAGTGATACTATAAACGACCATTCTGTTTCCAAATGGGCTATAGTGAATCAAATATATTGTACTCTTCCTTCATCTTCTACGCCTAAGCATATGTAGTCGATAATGCATTACTTGCCCCACCTTAAAAATAATTTAAATTTTGTTACAAATATATGTATATATATATATATACTGACTAAACTTCGCCCAATAAATAGAAAAGTTAATGTATAAAACTTACAAAAATTATATTTATTTACTATTGTTCAATTGGTATAATAATTCCTTTACAGTCTCAAATTTTACATTATATTTCCTGTAAAGCGATACAATATTTACATTGTTGTACCCAAATTAATGTGAAACAATCATTTTACAACTATATCACAAAATTTTTTTTAAAAAAAAATTGTTGGAACTTCTCCAAATTGTTTTTGGTGATCCACCATAGTGTAGTTGGACATAACATAATCATTATTAAACACATCAGTCCAATATGATTAACTTGTCCCATCCAAGAAATCTGAAAATTACTAAAACTCGTTAGTCTTTAAATTTCATAAGTAAACAAAATTTAGAGACTATACGAAGAAGAAGATTAGCTGGATGATCCCCAATGTATGCGTTTCAAACTCTCATCTAAGTTGCATAAATTTCTTCAAAAATTTAGTCCCTTTCTTGTATACGGATCTCGTTTCTTCTCCACTACAAATAATAAATCCAACAATAAAAACTCATAATCAAATTATCAATAAAGTATAATCAAGTTAAACAACTGCATCACAAAATATAGAACAAACATGCAAAAGTCTACTAAAATCAAACAGTTAGTGAACTATAAAACGAATTGACATTAATCATTGATAGAAACTCCATTCCTGAAATTAATTAACTTACCTTGATGAAAAATGGGCATGAACAATTGTTTTGCTGCAAAAAAATAAAAATAAAAATAAAAATAAAAAATAATAATAAATAAATCAATTAGTCAATGAGGGGAAAAGAGGAGGAGGTGAATGTACTATACCTGTTAAATTTATATAGTCCAGTCAAAAGCTATTAAGTTTTCTAACTGAATAAAATCCCTGAAGTTTAGGGATTTCAATTTTTAATGAAACGCTAAAATTAAACGTGATTAATGCTTGTCATAGTTCAAATCAAATTTTAAAATTCAAAATGTTAAGATATTTTAGTCTAATTTACAACCTAATTAATTAAAAAAATCAGGATTATATATGTATATTGAAATATTTAACATATTTAATATGTTTTAGTTTTTTTTTTTTCGTGCAAAAAACTCAAATCAGCATTAATGTTGATTTTATGATTTCAGCTTTCCGATTGAAAAAGATTTAGCATTAATTTTGATTTTTTTTAGGTGGGGTCATTGGCCATAGTTTTTTAAGGTAAAGTCATCAACCATAATTGGAGTTTTATTTAAGTCAATCAGAAAATTTATTCAAATCAATCAGCAATAATTATAATAAAATCAAATCAATATTTATCTTTTCTTTATGACACCAAATGAAAAGAAACTATTAATGTTGATTTTTTAAAAAAAAAAAATATGTTCCTTTTGTTTTGTTTGACCGAATTCAAAAGTGAAATTTTAGCACTCCAATTAATTGATAGAATTTAATTATGATTTGATGAAACTTTATTTACTGAATATTTAAAGGACTGATAGTATAATTGTGATAAAAATTCAAAGGAGAAGTTTGATTTCCTCTCTCTGATTTCTATATTAGTATAATACTATAGATACTATAGATTGCTGGGTTTTTTTCTCCCGAATTATTTTTTTCAGTTCTCTTTGAATTGTTTTGACCTCCTGCTGTGCGAAACCAAATAACATTGGTGATATTTAAAATAGTATGCGTGAATTATTTTTGGTTAGTTTTCGATCGTTATTCCTAACCAAAAAATTGAAAAGATTTTATAGGAAGCCAAGTTAAAACTGATTGTTATCCATTCCAAACCAATTAGAACTATTTCTCTGCTGATTGGTTGGTTTTGATGCTTCTAAATTATACCAGTTGGTTGGATTTGACGCTAAGAATGATTCATGAATGTTGAGGATTAGCTTCAAAGGACTGAAGATTAGTGTTAAAAGAGGAGGGTCATAAAATCCTCATTGGCCAATTTTCAAAAAGTTCATTTCTCAGTTGGTACTCGACTAATGTAAAATGAAGTGCGAAATTATGTGAATTCACACGTAGAAATCTTAATTTTTACCGTAACAAATCTTTGTTAAAAAAGATTCTTAAAATATGGATTCTACATCACTTGCGATATGGATTCTTACTCTTTTAACTCTAAACCGCACCGTAGGATGTTCTTACTCTTTTAACTCTAAACTTTTAATTCTAAACTACACCATAAGATCGGTGTCACGTATATGGTCGTAAACTTGTGATTTAATGTTATGCACTCGTTAAAAAAATTGTATTTCTTATTTTAAAGAATTTAAAACTAGACAGATAAGAAGTTCCAAAAACAGTAATCACAACAATTTTTGATAGTCATCAAATCAATTACTAAGCTAATCTAATGCACATTTCAAACTTTGTTGAGCACAAGATCACCTTCTCCTACTTCTTCACCTTCATCGAGCTTCTGTTGATCCCCCTCGGTGTTTCTGAATGTTCTGCTTTCCGCAAGATTAACAGGTTTATACCACTTAGCACACATGAGATAAATGAAGAAATCAATCGCCGTAAGCGTCGCGACGAGGAAGTAGAACCTGTCCATATGACCATTATTCAAGTCTTGAGGGATCCATCCAGGGTTACCACCTTTTGCAGTGATCTGCATTACCATATTAACAAGCATGCTGCTGACGAAATTCCCAAGCGAGATCGAAGCCATACAGAGAGAACTGCCAAAGCTTTTGATCCCATCAGGAGCTTGGCTGTTGAAGAACTCCAACTGACCAACGTACATGAATACTTCTGAAGCTCCAACAAGGACATATTGAGGAACTTGCCAAAAAATGCTTAAGGAGCTAGAGTGTTCTTTGGGGATGACTCGTTTGAGCCTATGAATCTCTGTTATCCCTGCTGCAACCATCGCTAACAATCCAATGATTATCCCGGTTCCCATCCGTTGGAGCTCAGTTACACCTTTTGGATTTCCACTAATTCTTCCAGCCAAAGGCACTAAGATTTGTCTATAAATTCCAGTGCACACTAGCACACTACAAATGTCAAAAGCAGACATGCTGGCAGCTGGAAGCTGGAACTTTCCAAGTCTTTTGTTCATAACTGCACCTTGCTCGACGAACAATGAAGCCATTTGAGTGAAAACCACTGAGTATATAATCGTGCAAAGCCAAATTGGTAACATTCTTATGACACATTTCGCTTCTTCGACTTGGGTGACAGTGCAAAGCCTCCATGGGTTAGCTGGTCCCATCCTATCTTTCTCTGTCACTATAGCTGCCCTGTCTAATAGCCTGCAGAATTTCCAAAAAGACTTTCTCAAAAACAAGCAATAAATTAGATTAGATAATCAACTTGAACCACATCCAATGATTTGACAATTCAACAAATTATTCGACAATGCTCTACAATGCCTTAAACACCATTGCCAATAATCGCTGTAAGATTGTTTTCTAGTTGTGAAATTTAGCAAGTGATTCACTTACACAAACTCATCACTGTGTAGAATTTTTTTGCTTCCTCTGATTACAGACTCTGATCCTTGTACCTCATACAGACTGTCAACACTAACCGGTCTTAGGTTCCATTTCCGAGCGGTAGCAACAAATACTTGAGCGACCCGCGGTAAAGGATTACCGAATGGCTTCACATATCTATAGCCAGGTGAGCCTAACAAAAATGATATCAATGCAATGACAGCAGAACCAACTGAAACCCAGAATCCCAATGTCCAATCTCCAGTGTCCTCATAATAGACCAATATGGTATTCGAGAAAAGTGAACCGAAATTGAGAGCAAAGTAGAAATAACAGAAGAAGGCAACTTTGGAGGATTGCTCTTTTGGGTCCTTCTCATCAAACTGATCTGATCCAAAAGTTGCAAGAGTCGGCTGGTGGCCGCCATATCCCAATGCCACTAGATATATTGACAAGTAAAAGAAGCCATTGCCCAAAGCAGAAGTTGAATGACAGATTTGTTTTTCATCACCACATCCAGCTGGCTTGATCAAAAGTAACCAGGATGTCAATGATAAAATCACCAAACCCTGAAATTCAGGTTGGAAAACACGTCAGCCGCAATCATATTCAGGGAAAACTTTCTAAAGTTCAAAAATTTAAGGCAGGGGAAGCAAATTATAGTACCAGAACAAGAATCAATTGAAAGATTGCACAGGTAAGATATCGACCCCAATACGAATCGCTGAGGAATGCTCCAAGCAAGGAACATAAGTAAACTGTTCCAGTCCATTTGCTAACATTATTTGCAGCAGAAGCATTGTCTTGGCCTAGAACTCGGGTTAGGAACAGAACAAGGTTTACACTGACACCAAAGAATGCAAATGTAGCAAGACCTTGATTTGCTGAAGATTTGCAAAAGAAAATTGACAATAAAAAAGAACCATCAACAAGAAGCAATGAGGTAAATTTCAGTTAAATTGCTGGTGAACCAAAACGTGAAAGTTACCAAGCAAGATGAATGCTGATCTCCAACCACCTAAGTTCTTCGTCTTAGGCAGCAATCTGCAGAAAGGATTCTTTGGTTTCTGATCATAGTTCACAGACTTTTGAGCTGAAACTGAATCTTGTGAACCATCAAATTTATTGCTTTCCTGTTCCTCAATATCAAGCCATGAAATTTAAATAAGCTAAGTAGTAAACTTGTCTCTGTTAGTATCTAAATTCGGCTCCCAAACATAGGATATAATGAAAAGTTTTCCTCAATACTTCGATTCAGAGATTTGGCAAAATGATAATCTAATTCGGGACCCTCATGGCATATCATCAGGTCTATCCAAACGTATACTGCGTACATTAAGCTTCACCAGAAACATACAAAATTCATACTGTGTAAATTAAGTTCCATACACACACAACGTAAAATTCTTTGTACCATTGTAATGTTGAGGGAATCCATTTCAGCCATGTAAGATTTCTCTGCAAAATTAACAAACAACAAAGAAAATTAATCGAATTCAGCATTGAAACAAAGTAAAAAAAATTTTGAATACCCAAAATTTCGTGGCTGGAAGTTACAAAAATTCAGTAATGCTGCAAGAAGTGGTAAACAAATGATGGGTCCTTTTCAAAAATTCTTTTGCATGTTAAAAATAGATTCAATTCAATTTAAAACAATCAGTAGTACTAAAAAAAATAAAAAATCAACAATCTTTCACATGCATAAAAGGGTTTCAATATATCATCAAACTTAGAACCTTATGCGAAATTTAGCAACGGAAAGAAACAAGAACTCCGGAGAATTGCCCGACTCTGGCGACGGCGAAGAACGAATGTCTACGAAGAACGGTGGCTCCTTGGAAGCCAAGAAATCAAATTCTCCACCCACTAAACGAATCCAATCAAAGCCAGTAAACTCTGTTGTCATTTATGGTGGAAAAAAGTAGGAATTTTTATCAATGCCGGAAAAAGATGGCTTTTTGATCGGTTTTTTTTTTTTTTTGTCTGTCACCACCGCTTTCTTCCTCAGAATGATGTAGTATACTGGGAACTGTGTGACTGTGTTTTGAACAATGCGAATTGACACGGGAAGTAAAATAAGAGTATAAAAATTGTATATTTATATCAAGTATATATGGAATCAAACTAAATATGTGTTGAATTGGTCTTTGACAGATGGGATTTTGTTTGATTTGATTTGATAAGTAGTACAAGTAACAACTTCCGAGAATAAAGATTAAAGCTCTTATACACTAAAATGCCGGATTAATTCAGTAAGATTTATTTACATTTACTATCACGTTTGACCGTTTCCCAACTACTTTATTAATGAGTGTGGATTCTGTAAACAATGCAGGAGGAAAAAAAAATGAAAAATAAAAACAAGTTTATTGCTGTATATTTTTGCCCTCTAAACGTGACACTTGGGTGAGTATCTCTACTAATGTGACACTTTTCGTTAACGGTGATGATGATTACGAACTTATAACATCAGTTTGAAACGTTTTTAACGTGTGTTTTTATTTGATAAAGTAACAAAAAAAAAAGGAAAAAAAAGTGTTTAAAGTGTAAAAAAAAAAAAAAAAGAACTCGCTTTTGTGAAACAGTGAATAAGATTTATGATATTTTTTCTTCTTTTCGGACAAGAAAAAAACAATTATTATTAAATACAACAAATTATTTAATTAGTCAAGCTTTGGTTGCCGTCATTATTTGTTTGTCACAAGTTACTAGTACTATATATGATAAACAGGTAAAGAGAAAGGAAGTTAGATAAGTGCGCCTGGGGATGGTGATACGCGATCCGGTCCGTGGTGAAGAGTAATTATTTGATTTTGGCAGTAGATTTTTTTTTTTTTCATTTTTTCACCTTAATTATAGTTGTGAAAAATAATCTTTAGACGAAAATAAAATAAAATCGTAACAAATCAGATGAACTGTAATTTTTAATAGTCTTGCTTGAATATAGGGGTAGAAATCAGACAACCTCGTAGAAGATTCTTGTTCCTCGCTTTCCGAGTTTCCCTAACAAACTAACGCATGATTTGTGGGCAATAAAATTTCGACCACAAAAACGATAGAGTTTGGTCAACTGTTGAACTCTCGGTTATTAAAATTAAAGGTTTGTGTAATAATTGGGATTCGATTTTGGGTGTTAGTTTTTCAAACCACCAACTTTAGTTCTTTCAGCCACAAATTTTTAATTTTGACCATTTTACCTTTGTCATTTTTCCAAACCGAGTAACTTGAGTAGAGAGAAAACTAAAAAAATTTGAAAACTAAAAAAAAAAAATTTAAAAATCGGCCGGCCGTGCAAGGAACCCGTCCTGAGTTAGTCCAGGACGGCGGGACGGGTGGACCAGTCGTTCTATTATTTGTCCGAACGAGTGTATTGCTCCTCTCGAGTTAACTCGGGACGGGTGAACCATCCATCCTCCTTAAACCCGGGACAGGTGTATTACTCGTTCACATTTGAATCGGGACAGGTGTATTGCCCGTCATCCTTTGCTCGAGGACGGATGACTTGCTCGGTCTGGTTCGGTCTTGCAAATTGGTCCGGTCAGACTTATTTTTTAATTAGTTAATCTAGTTTTATGTCATTAAATTCTTATTAGTTAAATGTATAATTATTATTTTTTAATTTTTAATTTTTTTGTTATTTTTATAATTTTTTTGGTAATTAGTTAATCTAGTTTTTATGTCATTAAAGTTTTATTAGTCAAGTGTATAATTATTATTTTTAACTAAAGATTATGTTAAAAAATAATGATTGAACCAAAATTTTATATTTTAGCATCAATTTAAATAAATTAACTTAACAAATAATCTTAAATTTATTTTCAAGAAAAAATTAATTACTTGTTTATTTTCAAATAAATATAAAGTTGAGAGTTTAAGAACTAAAGTATAAATATTGTTAATAATAATTAAATTACAAAGTATTCAACATGCAATGATACTGCGAATAAACTAGTATTAAAATAAAAATTAATAATTTGTCCGTTCTTACGTGAATCGGACTGGATAACTTGTCTGGTTCGGTCCGAGTGGCTTATTCTCTCTCTCTCTCTCTCTCCCCCTCTCCCTCTCTCTCTCCTTCAATTTGGTTTGGTCAAATGACAGGGGCAAAATGGTCCAAATTGAAAACTAGTGACTGAAGGAACTAAATTTAGTGGCTTCAAAAATACTTTCTGGGGAAAAAAAATAAAAACGTGATAAGTACAACTACACATACACTACAAGTCCAAATAACTTATCAAATCAAATTCTGATACCACCATGATCTATGCGAAACAGATAACCTAGCTAATGAGGGAAATTTCCTTTATTTATGATTGTCATTTACTTTTCCTGCTTAATTTGTTATGTTAAAATGACAACTCTTTCTCGTTCTTAGGCAGTTGTTTTTTCCTAAATTTATTTAAGTATATTTTTTGGTTGAAAATGAAATCTCAAAAATTTATTTTTTACATTTATTGTATTCTCTTAATTATTATTAAAAAATTTTAATATTTTATTTTTAATTAAAAATATAGATAAATAAAACTTAGGAGAAATAAAGATCATGAAAATAAGGACAGGACAAATAAAGATCATGAAAACAGGATATTCATCATCGTTGACTAGCTGCAACATTTATTTTATAAAGAAAACACCATCTATTCTAAACCAAATTCAGATCGAAATTACATTAGTGACAGGCTGGTGATAGTTCTTTCAGTGTGTTTTTTTTTTTCAGGGTGCTTTTTTAAAAATCCTTCTCCCCAAAATAATTTCTTACTAGGATTGAATTTTGCGAGGATATAAATTTTTGTTGTCTTAAAATGATTAATTAATTAGAATTTTCATTTTTCATATAATTTATATAAAATGCGAAAATCTAATTAGACAATCATTTTGAAACTTTAAAAATTTATATACTTGCAAAATCCAGCCTGACTTTTCTCCAAATAAATGGACAATTATGCACTATGTTTAGCACTCAAGAACGGTCGGAGTAATCAATTGTACATAGTAATTGTCCAGAGTCAAATTTACAAGTAATCAATACTAGGGGAGATCCAATTTCGATAGCTACTCACACTCGCTGCAACTTAATGAACTCATTTTTGAGCTCAAATTTCCCCAAGGAAAATAAATTTATAGAGAGACACTAAATATATCATCCATTCACAAAATTCGCCCAAACATAACTCATCCTTGCTGTTTGGGGAACTTCTCTATCTGTACACAAACATTAAGTAAAAAACAGGCCGCCTACAAATTATGTAGCAACTCTCTCTTCCGATTCGGTTTGCAATCGTTAGCAGGATGCTCATCTTCTTCCATGTCCTTCGCAATCAAATTTCCTCGTACCAATTCTAAACAGTTATGCGAAGACTTACTTAGGCCTTGTGCTGTGTGTCAGATTCCGATGCAATTTGAAGAACCATCTTCGTTTCAAACTCTTCTTCTCCGGTGAAACCAGAAGGATGATCAGTCATCATCTGTCCTCCTGAGCCCAAGAACCCTTGGTCAGCCTCCTTCGGTTTGAGCTTTTCTTCATGGGACGTCTCTGAATCGCTCCTGTGTGACATCAGCTCTTGTCCCTCGGGGACATGATCAATCATCAGCTGAAAAAGCAAGAAAAGAGTTTCGAGTATAAATAGTTTAAACACGTCAATTTCAGCTTGTTCTTTGTTTTTCGATTGAGCTTCTTCATGTATGCCATGGTTAAAACCAGGATAGTAAAAATTTGGCAAAATGCAAGAGATGATAGAGACAACTAATTTCAGTAAACTGACTGCAATTCTACTCAAATACCTTCCAATCAGGAAAGTCAAGCCTAAAAACGAAGTGACGGTACTTCACCTCCTCTGACACTATTCGATTGCGAGAGGGAGCATTTCTGGCAGCTGCAGAGAGAACAAACACAGATGGGGAATGTGTTAGTTGTAGTTGATAAGGAACTCAACACGCGGGTAAATCTACTGATGGAGCATAGGGCTTCCTTTAGAATGTCTTACAAACTATTTGAGAGCCAGTAACATCATCCACTTTTACTGCAACCCGTCCATCTTTTACCAAGAAAGACAGTGCGAAGAGATTCTCAATTGTCTGAGCAAAAGAATGCCGATTGAGAATGAGATGTTCAAGCTTAAGGGTTTTGTGTTTCCTCAAGATACCAAACATCACGGCGATATTCTTTTCCGTGTTCAGATCGACTTCTTCGACAGCACTACTAACCTATTGATTCAGAAGAATATAATTTGTGAAAAAGCAAATCACATGATCACAAAAAGTATCATTAGTCAACCATATTCATAAGGTGTCACATTAATCATTGTATATTAGCAATCAAATGACTCTGGAGAGTAGTGTGAAAGCTGGTTGGAAGAACAAGTCCTTGGTGAGCATGCAGAGGATAAACAGAATCTGTTTTCTGCTCAATGTGATGAACAGAATGAAACTAATCGCACCTCTTTTGGTATTATACATAGTTTTGCTTCTTGTCTCCTTCGGCCATATACTTTCCTTTGCTTCAAGAACAAATTTTCCATAGGTCCAATCCTGAGAATAAGCAGCAAATGCAAGTTAAAACTACTAGAACAGACAAAATGTGCAAACAGGCACACAAAAAGAAATGCAGTTACGGCCTGAGAATGGAACAAGAAAGAAGTCTACATGGTTAAACATCCTCTCGCTTTCTTGAAGATTGGAGTAGCAGCAATGCCAATATCCTTCCAACGAAGTGTATTTGTAATGTTCTCCGATTCTCCAACATTACCCACCCCAAACTGTTTTATTAGTGAAGTAACAAAATCTGAAGGGGTAATGGATCCAAGACCATGCGATTTAGCAGCATTGAACAATGTGTTTGTGAGCCCAAGCAAAACCTCAGCATCGGAAACTTGCTCTCTCGGCTTGACAACTGAATATCGAGATTATCAGAAAATAGTTTCAGTGGGGATCATCAAAGTTAATCTACTTAGGTGTCCAACTCAAAACAATTGGCAATAAGCAGAGAGATTGAAAATGTAGTCATTTATTAAGTTTAGGACTCCCATACGAGAAAACAGTATTTTACAATCAACCTAGAAAGCAATGCCAATCTTCAATGAAATTACACCAAATTCATTAATGCTGTGATGCGACTTAATACAAGAACATGAAAATTTAAAACATGCGAAAGCTGGTTTTATTGGCATCCTTAACAGCATAAATCATTTACTACTACAAGAATTCTGCATAAATAAGGTATGATTACAGCATTCCAAAAAGGTAAAAAGGCCAGAAATCATCTTTTATGCAGCACCTCTTACCTTCTTACGGGACATAAACAACTAAGACGAATAAACCAATACTAACTACAGTTGCAGATTAAATCCCTGAATTCCAAGATTTTGACATCTTTTTTCATAATCACAGCAAGACGTATATAATGTGAGTTGTTTGCACCATTACTACTTCATTATCAGTAAAGCCAACATTGATGAAACTTTAACTATCTTCACCTGGAACAAAGTGGCCATCAATTCCATTTTCATTTTCGTTTACAAACACACACACACAAAAAATAAAAACAAAGAAAACAAAGAAAAAGTTGTTTAACAAGTAGTATTTCAGAATTCAATTTCTTTCCGGGGGTTGTTCATAGTAGGGCTCAAATGGTTTTTCCTTTCAACAACTAAAATTTACAATGTAAATTAAATAATCAACTTAAAGATAAGAAGAATGGAAAAACAAATAAAATAAAACAACATATACTCCTCAGTCTTTCAATAATCGTCTAGCAAAACATATAATACCTCTATTAATAAAGAGTCTACTTTCACGAACTAAAACAAAATACAATAAAAACCCTAAGAAGTTGTCCTATTAATCCAAAAGAGGTAAACTTTCTGCTGTGTGTGCGTGTGAGAAACACTTACCCTGCTCATGCAACTTTTCCACATCATTGATGATGCTGACAAACTTGCTTGAATTGGCGCTTGCTATATCTTCTCTATCTTCTACAATAAATAAAAAATTCTACTTTAGAAGATGAAAAAAGAAACAAGTTTGACCTCAACACAAAGAAACAAAAAATTGAACAAATTTGTTAGCTTTTCATAAAATCTTTGCCCTAAAAAAAAAGACCAAAAGTTAAGAACGTACCGTTGATGCGATTTTGAAGAGTAATGTAACCAAAACGCAATCCCCTCCGATATGGTTCTGTTTCCTTCTCTTCGATATGCTTTCTTCTTCTCTTCTCCATGTCTATTCCTTTTTCCCTTTCTTTCATCCTTCAAAGTACCCTTCAATCCTCTTCTTTCTATTCAATTTTTTTTTTTTTTTTTAATAAACTCCAATGAGAAAGGCAGTAGCCGACTTCTAGTTCCGAGGTTTTTTTTTTAGCGGCAAAAATTAACTGCAGGGATAGGAAACGAGGAACGTGAGGAGGCATATTTGTTGGCCTGGTGGGATTAAATTAAGACTAAGAAGAAGATAATTTTTTTTTTTAAAAAATAAAAATTATAACAAGAAGAGAGAAAATAAATAAAGGAAAACCCAAAACTTAATTCCTTTCTTATCTGTGTTTGTGTTTTTCCTTTTTCCGAAAGCGAAAAGTCAGGCATACACGGGTAAACCCGTTTTAAACGTAAAATTGTGCCTTTTATCCTTAGTAAAGAAAAGGTAATTTCATTGTCATATGAAAAAAAAGAGTAGAAAGAGAATTTAGATTCAATTATTACAATGGATCGAATTCTCCTATCCATGATTACTGGACGAAGGTTAGCATTTTGCAACTTGATTGTACTTTTACCGAATTATTAGAAACTCTTTTTACTAAAAACGAATAGAAAGAATCTTTCCGGTTCCTTACCTTCAACTTCGACTCACAGAAGTAATTTTTTTTTTGGGGGGTAACTATGAAGTAACTTTTCAGTTCCCGCTAGATTTGTCATTTGTATGCTTTCACACAGGCCAAAGCATTCTATCTCAATGCAATCGTTGCCAAAAAAGTGGCACTATTAATTTGTTATTTGTTCAGAGGTTTTTTCCCTTATGCATTTTCATGTAATTTTTTCTTCGAAAATTATTATCTGCAACTATTATTCTAATGATGAATAATTTGTTTAATATAAGATTTCACACTTGGTATTTAAAAATTACGATTGTCGACAAATTCGAATTTGACTCAGGGATCCAAACAACCTTTTACATGGTGAAAAAAAATCCAAACAGACCTAATACATCCACTATGCTTGTGGCTCTTTCCCATATATCCGTCATGAAATTTGGGGGCTGGGGTGGAAACTTACTTGCTCAAAAAGTTAACTTGTGAGTAAATTAAGTACAAACAAAAAGTTGGTCACGCATATCTTGTACAATCAGCTTATATATACCTCTTGCGACTTGGAATTAGGGACAGGATTTTAAAAAAAAAGAAAAGAAAAGTGTAGCATTATCATACAGACTAATTAAGTATGATTTAGAGAATACTTCTAAATGGGAATCACTCGCGCGCTATGGTGAGTGAGTAATTTTTTGCTATAGGAAAAATATATATAATCATACAATACGTCACTCATTTTAGTATTCTCTACATTCTTTTTAGTGTTCATCGTCAGCAATAATGACTAATCTCCATCGCTCATGATAGACACTTCGCTCATGGTAAAAAAATAATTATTTTTTGTTATATTAAAATATTATAATAAGGTAATAAATACTTTCTATGTCCTAAAATTATTGCGTAGTTTGAGTTTTTATTTTTAGTTCATTTTATACTAAAAACAAAAATTTAAAAGTGAAATTTCAAATATGACAATAATTTAGGATCTATCTTTTCCGAATAATACGCAAAACATGTTTAAAAAAAATACTCTCTCCGGTCCTTAATATAAGACATTGTGATTTATCCTAAATTTCACTTATTACATATTTTTAATTGACAAAAAAAATCTTAAAAATATATTATCATATTCATTGTGTTCTCTTGATTGTTATGAAAAATATTTTTAAGATTTTTTGTTAATTAAAAATAGGTATTAAGTGAAAGTGAAACCTAGTACAAATCAAAATGTCTTACATTAAGGACCGGAGGGAGTACATCAAACAATAAAGGACAAACCAAAATCATAGTCTAAGGACTAAAGCCGAACCACGTTCTGGGTTTTATTCTTGTCGATCTGAATGCAATTATAGAGGTCTGATTACATAAACTCCTTCTATCCCAAAATTATTATCTAGTTTGGATTTCATTTTTTATTTAGATTTTTAAATTATACTAAACATAAAAATCCAAACTGGATAGTAATTTTGAGACAGAATGATATATCATCCCCAACTTCTTAAGTAACCCGTGAATACAAAATGATCGCGGTGAACAGAGAAAAACATACTAGATTGGTGTTGACAATTTATAAAAACATGTTAAAACTCGCATGCCAGAAAAAAATCATAAAAATGTGTACTATTGATGGGGCAATAAATAATCCATTGCCTTTGAGGCCCTAATCTTGAAAGCCCAAGTAACACTCAAGATCCATCTAGAGCCATGTGCACCCATATGCTTGAAGAATATTCTTATATTCTTTCTTGGGTCTATAAAAGGGACTCCCTCATTCATTTATTTGACACATCATTCTCTCTCTACATAACATTTAATACTTCTCCCTTCTCTCTCTAAGAGTTCTGACTTTGGTATCGGAGTACTAACTCTGTTTTGTAGGGCATTTTAGGAATTATAGGCACTGTCCCCTGGACTGACAAAGGAACGCACCAATAATTGGCACCGACTGTGGGGATGCAATAGAGAAACGCGCCCCTTCCTTACTGACCTTTCTCTTTTCCTAAGTTGGTGTTCCTGGATTTTGATGGTGTCTACGAGATAGAGGCCTGAGGAGTCGGGGATAGCCGTACCCCTGATCCAAGAACGCCCAAGTAAATGGTTGCGACCAAGCAAGACACCAGGCGTGGTTGCACCAAGTGCTACGTTCCAATCCTAAAGCACCCAAGCAAACGGTTGCGACCAAGCAAGACACCAGACGCGGTCGCACTGAGTGCTGCGTTCCAATCCTAAAGCGTCCAAGCAAACGGTTGCGACCAAGAAAGACACCGGACGCGGTCGCACCGAGTGCTGCGTTCCGATCCTGAAGCGCCCAAGAAAACGGTTGCGACCAAGCAAGACACTGGACACGGTCGCACTGAGTGCTGTGTTTCGACACCGAAGTGCCCAAGTAAATGGTTGCGACCAAGCAAAACACCAGGCGCGATCGCACTGAGTACTACGCTTGAGTTTATTGTCAAGAAATTAATGGGGTCAGAAGCAAGTGGAGAACACCCATTTTGACATAAATCATCATCGACAACATGTGGTTGAGTACCAAGCCGCAAATCAACAACCATGCTTGTTGCTTTAATCTTTGAGCAGCTCTTTCCCACTTGGTCAACGCCAGTTGGGGTTCGTTTGTAGAGAGAAATATCGGATTTGGAGCTTCCACCGCCTAAATCTAGCAAAAGTTGCATAGCGATTGGCAGAGCACGTGGCGACGCCTCTAATGATGGTCTGCATTGGTGTTCCCCATCTGTGTAGGGGCAAGATGTGTCCCATCTTCATCGGCAACCGCTTTGGTGTTGACATCAGCAACGTGTCGGCTGGCGATTGATTGGAGGAGCAGTAACCACCAGCGACCTTGAGCTTCCTTCAGCAACGGCAATTTTCGTGCTCGCGAGCATTTCCTTCATTAGCGACGCCGACCACGTTTAGCAACAGCGATCTCTGCTTTCAAGGCGACCGTGGGCATTTCCTTCATTAACTATGCCAACTGCGTTCTGTAACGGCGATCTCCGGTTTCAAGGCAAACGCGAGCATTTACTTCAGTAGCGATGCCGACCGCATTCAGCAATGGCAATCTCCACTTTCAAGGCGAATGCGAGCATTTCCTTCATTAGCGATGCCGACCATGTTTAGCAATGGATCTCTGCTCTCAAGGCAACCGCGAGCATTGCCTTTGATAGCGATACCGACCGCGTTCAGCAATGACGATCTCCGCTTTCAAGGCGACCCCGGTCATTCCCTTCACTATCGACGTCGACCGCGTTCAGAAACAGCAATCTCCGCTTTCAAGATGACCGTAAGCATTTCTTTCATCAGCGACGCTGGCCGCGAGCGAGTCTTCAAAACAGCAACACGCTTTGCAATGCCTCCGACGGGGGTTTGTGCATTTGGCACTCACCAAGGGACCCCATTTGGCGTTGCTTTGTTTGGCGTTGACATTGGTGATTTGTGTTCACCATTTGGCGTGGTGGTCCAACCCAGGGGTCTGTTGGTTTGGCGTCCCATTGTTTCTACGCCGGAGGTGATCTTGATGCTTTCTAGTGTAAGCCCAAAACCAGTGGGCGACCTCATTTTCCGTTCAGGAAGTTTGGGACGATTGGCATCCACCATGTAAATTCGGGCAACAGGCGACCAGATCATGGATCATGTAGATTCCTCTTCTTGACGAGAAGCAACAGCATCGTTGGATGTTCATTAGCATTGTGGTCTCTTGGCCGTGGCGTCCTGTTATTCCAACTGATGCAACGCATCAATGACATCATACTTACACGTGAACAAACCAAAGTTCTCTGCAACCTAGAGTTCCATTTCACCCAGCCTGACGCGATGCCGAAGTGTCGACATCGAGGTGGCGACTTTACATCACCACTCTCTTCGCCAGTAACTCTTTCTTGTTGGCTTCAGCGATGCGGATCATCTCTATGCGATCTAGTATTATCTCCAAAATTACGACAGCAATAGCAACTTCTGGGGGTCTCAACACCGCCTTTTCCATCCGTTTCAGCGATGTGACCAGTTCTACGCGACCCGAGGGTACGTGCTGACTTGAGGTTTGAAGCTTCATGGTGATAGCTGGTAACGCAAGTTTCAACACCACATCGACATCTGATAATCTTCCACTGGTGTTCTTGATTTGATGCAATCATATGTAACCTTAGAGCCATGGAGCATCTTAGATTTCATTTGGTGAATGGCATGATTGACCCGGCCCCAAAAACCTTCCTTTGTGCGATCTGGTTCCTCCTCCAATGGCATGAGACTGAAGGGGCAGCCAGGGGTTGCATTTGAAGGGAAAAACGCCAGCACTTGCAAAAGTCCGCGAACTTTGCAATCAGGTCCTAACAAGAAATGGGGCAAATTTTGGGGATTGCGAGTATTCTTGGAGGCCTTCTACGGTCATGGCTAGGTCACCTACCTACGCACTGAACGAGATAAGCGCTCTTAATTTTTGTAAGTGGATTGTTTGTTTTCTTAGATGGCTTGCTTTGGGGGAAGGGGATGCCTCTGTGACCATACATGTTTCCTCCCTGGTTGTTCTAGTGAGCGTGCACGTAACATGATATATGCACATAGAATTGCACATTAGCTCCAAGTTGCCTTGATAAGCATTCACTCGACACCATTTGCTCATAACACATAATGAGCAAAAATACTATGAGTTCATTCTCTTTGCCATGGTCCATTCTATATGATGTCTTCACCATTTTTGATTTGACACTTCCAATGGATGTATAATTTCTCTCTGAAAGGTAGAGTCTTTAGTGTTGAATACTTTTGTCGGTGTTTTGGACAAAAGGACAACCCTTTCTGTAAACAAGTGTACCGGGGTGGTACATTTTATACTTTGAATTGCCTAGGCTGGTGTCTTAAACCAAGAGTCAATCCTTTTGTAAGATCCTTGTCATACACGGCCCTTGGCAAGATCTAGAAACTTCAAACTATAAAACGGTGGTGTTACCTCCCTTTCAAAAACTCTTACTAGAAAACCTCTCCTCTACGGATGGAGGTATGTCGCACTTTACACGGTTGATGCATTTGAAAACCCTCTCCTCTATGGATGGAGGTTCATCGTGCCTCACACGGCCGATGCATTTGAAAACCCTCTCCTCCATGGATGGAGGTCCGTCGCGCCTCACACGGCCGATGCGTATGAAAACCCTCTCCTCCATGGATGGAGGTCCATCGTGCCTCACACGGCCAATGCGTTTGAAAACCCTCTCCTCCATGGATAGAGGTCCATCGTGCCTCACACGGCTGATGCGTTTGAAAACCCTCTCCTTTACGGATGGAGGTCCATGGGGCCAGACGTGGTCAATTGATAGTTATAATAAAATTCATTTTATTATAATCTTTTTTGCCTATTTTGGTTATATTTTAAAGATTATTAATGGACTTTATTATTATTTTGTGCCAATGTAGTGAAACAATGAAATATGGACGGTTTTGAGATTTACTGACTGCTTTATGGAGTTAAAAGATGAAAAGATTTTACCACAAGGAGATTAGTCAAAGCTCTTACTTGAAGATTTTTTTTACCAAGTCAAAGAAATCCATTTCTTGATTTTCTCCACCCGTTTGACCGACCTGATTTGGTAAAAGATTTGCAGCAACAACTAAATCCATTTGGATATATTGGAAGTGATTTAAGATAGGTTGTTGTACCTTTTTATTTTGGATTTTTCGGTTAGGAAAACACCACTATAAACAGAGTAGTAGTGGTAGGCTTCAAAGACCCCACACCCGTATCGGATTTTTATTCTTTTATATTATATGTGAGACTACAAGTTTCACTTTTTTTTTTCTACTTTTAATTCAAGTACTTGTTGATTTTAATTTCTTTTTATGAGAGTAGATACTTGATTAATCTGATAATTTAATCAAGTATTTTCTTCCTACTGCTACCAAATTGTTTATGTTGCTCTATCGTCTTAAACATTTGGCACTAAGTAGCACATTAGCAGATTATGCATGTTGGTAGTGACACGTTGAATGTGCATAATAAGTCTAACTAGGAGATTAATAGGACAAAAATATTTTAATCGCAGCTATCTCAATTATTTTAATATTTTGTTCAACTAAATTTTTAAAGTTTTATTGGTCGTATAATTTAACACGGAACGCTATCGTGCCTAGTTAAATTATACTCCCTTCGTCCCATAATTATTGTCCAGTTTGGGTTTTCATTTTTAGTTCAAATTGTACTAAAAATAAAATTTCAAACTGGACAATAATTTTGGGACGGAGGGAGTACTAAGTTTTGATTAGGTGCTGGGCTTGGTCAAATATTTTTAGAAAATATAAGGTTTTTTACAGCTATCCTATTAAGCCTACGGTTGAATGCTTGAGTATAGAAAAATATATTTTAGTCGATGATCTATAATATATTTGAATCATTCCTTGAACCAAAATTTTTCTATTATTATTTTTTTCTCCATTTTTATTTACTTCAAATTGCCATTTTATTTTAAAGAAGAAAAATCCCCCCCTGTTTACATTTTTGTAAAGGCAAGTGTTAAAAGTCGGCTCTCTTGGGATTCGACCTGATTCCACTGTTTCTGCAAACTAATTTTGGTCTGTTAGGAAATCAGATTAATTTTTGCGGATCTCGACAAACCCGTCAAAATTTTGGCGCTGTTGCCGGGGAGCTACTTCCTTTTGCTCTTGGTTTTATTATTTTATTACTTATTTTTCTTATTCCAAAACGAAAAAAAAAGTTGGTTAGGTGTAGTGTGTCTTTCTTCGTTATTAGTCTTATTATTAATAAAAAAAACTTGCAATTTTTTTCTTTCTTTCTTTCTCTCGTTTAAGAAATAATTATTTTTATTAGTTAGTAGTTTGAAAACAAGAAACAAAAGTTCGTCAGTTTTAGTGTAGTAGTACTTTTTTTTAACTATAAAAAAAGATTTTTTATCTATAAAAAAAGATTTTTATAGTGTAGTAGTACTTTTTTTTAACTATAAAAAAAGATTTTTTAGTGTAGTAGTACTTTTTAACTTTAGTATAAAAAAAGATTTTTTTTAATTTTTATCTTGTGTTGTTATTTTCTTTTTCTTGCTATTTAATTTTTACTTTGTTCTAATTCACAGGCCACCATTTCCATTGCAAATCATCTTTTGCCCAGCAGCAGTGCATTGGTTGATCTCCGAATTGGGATTTTGGTCTTTGAAAATTTTCTTTTGCAGTAGCCACTAACGGCTCAATCCAGGGAGCAACTTGTTTTTGGTGGAAAAGTATCATTGTTATATTTATTCGGCTTTTGATTTGTGTTCTTATTTGTGCAATTTTTCGTGTTAAGTTAATAATTACTTTATTTTGTTTTTATTTTTTACTTTTTTTTTAATTTTTTAATCTAACTGTCGTGCTCTACTATAATTGTTTCTATAAAAAAAAAGTCCCATTTGTTTTTTGTATGCAATAAGTAGTCTTCTTGTGTTAGTTTATTGTGCTATTTTGCATCTCTATTTATCCATGCTAATTATTTTAAAATTTTGTTGGTGCATGCTAGTAACTGTAGGAATTTAATCATTTTAGATTGCTATTTTTTGTGCATTTTTTTGAGCTTTCTGGTCTATGAGTAGTCGTCGTACTGGAAATAGTGATCTTAATTACATACCTGAGATTGAAAAAGCTGCTCGTCTGTTAAGAAGAGAAGCTAAGAAAAAGAAAGCTAATTTGCATTCTAGGGTGA